GGCAGAGTTAAGCACTGTGCATATGGAGCTGGATCCTGCATGGCTGACTATGGCTTGAATTCCAGCCCTAGGGGCTTGAGAAACATGCTAGCTATGGGGGCCAGTAGGTGGCATGGTGGTTAAGGGTGCTAGACTCCCACCCAGGGGCCCAACCATGGTGCGAGTCCCAGACCTGGCGGCTTGCTTTCTCACTTTCCCTCTCTCTCTCTCATTCTGTCTCTCTCTGGTCAAATTAAATAAATAGACACATTTTTAAAAGTTAAATAAAAAATAATTCTTAAAAAGATACAACATGATAGCTCATGTGTGCTTGGACCCCTCAAATCCTGATGGAATAGAAAATTTAAGGGAAAAGGATTGTGTTGGGGGGGTGCTGTCATTCTCTTGCTTGCAGTCACTCTCTCTCTAGCAAGTGTCCATGCCCTCTGGCAATTAAAATTTTTTTTTTTCAAAAGATTGGGTTGTCAGGAAAGTCACGACACATTTTTGCATAGAAAAACATAGAAAAATAGGCATGACTTTTCTGATGATCCAATATATTGTTTCTATATAATGTGTGTGTGTGAGAGAGAGAGAGAGAAGGTATTTCATGAGAGAAATGGAAACTCTAAAACAAAAATAAATGGAGGACTTAGAACTGGAAAATATATTTTTAAAATGACTGAGTAGGCATAACATCAGATTGGACACTGCTAAAGAAATGATCAGTACAGAGCAATTGAAATTAACAACTGTGGGAACCAGCAGTTAGCGTAATGGCTATGTCGCTGGACTCCCACGTAGTCGACCGTGGTTCGCGTCCTGGACCTGGTGGCTTAAAACTCACACCAGGTGCGTGTGCGTGCATGCCAAAGATCCCGAGAGGAGAATGGAGGAGAAGGGATTGCGGCGTGACCATTCCCCCTGGGGGGTGATTTCTCGCTTTCTGTCTCTATGTCTCTTTCTGTCTGTCTGGTGAGCGCATGTGCCCTACAGTGAAAATCTCTCCAAAAAAAAGAAAAAAGAAATTAACAACTGGGGCTGGATGGTAGAGGGAAGTGATTAGGAGGGAGCAAAGGGAACATTTGCTTGGTCAAACTCATTAAATTGTATGTTTACACTTTTACATTTTTCATATAGGTATCTTAATGCGGTTGGCTCAAAAAATACATACATAGAAACTGGGCCATGTTTCTGAGAGTTACTGTCCTGCAGGGCCAACCATTGATCTGTTTGGCCTCAGAGAAGTGCCTTGTCTCCCCCCTGCTCTGGTTTGTATTGCAGGGGTGGGGGTCAGGCGTGGGGTGTGCCTCCTCCAGGCAGTGGGTTACCAGCTGACAGCAGCCAGTGGGCAGCCCGGGTGGATGAGAAACGAGGCAGGAAGAGGAGGTCAGGGTCTGTTCTCCCTCTGTGGTTTATGGGGTGGCTCTAGTGACAGCTGCATGTTTCTGCAGACCTAGCTCCCACTGGACTGGCTCTTAAGAGATTCAGAGGAGCTTGGCGCCTGGGTTCTGGTAATACCACCTCTTTCCTAGGTCCCTCTAGCCAAGGCACAGTAGCAGCTTCCTGCCAATGCTAATTTCTGGGCTCTGTGTAACCAATTCCCAGTATTATATGTCTTCTACATATCTATTGGCTTCTGCCTCCCCACAGGACCCTGACAGATACACATATGCCCCCAAGGAAGCAGGTGCCTTACTCTGGCCAGGTGCCTTGTATTTACATAAAGAGAAGGAATGATTAGAGGCAACTTGTGTTTTAGTGCCAACAATGCCCAGGGCCAAAGAAACACACAGGGCACAATGGCTGCTTTCCTACTCTGCAGATAGGACTTCGCTATGTATCAGTGCAGAGCCACTATTAAACATCCAACTAGCCCCCTTTGTCCTGCCCTTTCCCAGTGTCCGGGGATCACAAAGCAGTATCTGAAGACTGGGCTTCGCAGAGGCCCCGCAGGCCTTGAGACAGGCCTTGAGACAGAGCCGGGTGTTTTCTAGGCTGGCTTTCCCACTCCGGTGAACAGGAGGAATAGCAGGAGATGAAGAGTACACCTGCCTCAGCTCGTGGTCCCATTCTGGGATCTGCTACCAGGGATTTCCACACTTATGGACCCAGTGAAATTCTACTCCTCGCTTAAGAGTTACAGCAGGTTCACCAAACCCCGCTTCCTTTTTTACCCTGGGCACTCAGCCAGATGACATTTCCCAATGTCCCTTGCAGTTAGATCAGGCCATGAGACTGAATTCTGGCGAATGAAATGTTCAAGGAGGTAGTGGCCACCATTTCCTGAGCAGGCTCACACACGTCCCTGGTACAGGCAAAAAGTGGAAATGCCCAAATGGCCATCAATTGATGAATTGATAAAGTGTGGCCGATCCATAAAATGGAATGCAATGCAGCAATAAAAAGGAATGAAGTACTAATACGTGCCGCAACACGGATTAATGTTGAAAACATGATTCTAAGTGAAAGAAAAGACCACAAAAGACCACCTACGGCCATGAATCCATTTACAAGAAATGTCCAGAATAGGCAAAGCCATAGAGATGGAAAAGAGACTAGTAGTTTCCAGGGGCTAGAATAAGGTGAGGGACAGGACCAGCAGATGGCATAATGGTTATATCATTGGACTCCCATGTAGTCAACAGCAGTTCGAGTCCCAGACCTGGAGGCTTAAACACACTGGGTGTGTGTCCATGTGTGCCCAAAATCCCAAGAGGAGAATGGAAGACAAGGAATTGTGGCATGGCCATGCCCCCTGGAGGATGATTTCTCACTTTCTGTCTCTCTCTCTCTCTCTGGTGCTATAGAGCACACATGCCCTATAGCAAAAATCTCTCTCTCTTAAAAAAAAATAGAATAAGGTGAGGGAATAGGAAATAACTATGAACAGATGATCAGAACAGATTTGTGAATGCTTGGAGATGGGGCCGGAGGTCAGGGGCAGGCAGGAAGGGGCGTGACTAGTAGTGGGTATAGGTTTTGGCGGGGGGATGATGAAATGGTCTAAGACGTATTGCAGTGATGAGTGCATGACTGAACGTGCTACAAACCGCTGTGAACCATATGGTATGAAAGTATGAATATATCTCAAGAAAGCTGTTAAAAAGCACACAAGCATAGGGCTGGATAGTGGTATGGCAGTCATGCGATGCTCTGTGAAGCCGACATGCATGGGAAGGTCCTGGGTTCACATACAGAAACCTTCCTAAACATGCCAGGTAAGAGCGAATGAGAGCAAGTTCCACTCGGGGAAGAAACAAAGAAAGGAAAACCACACATACGCACTTGTAATTCACCACACTCTCCCTTTTCTTCGCATCTGGCTGAGAGGAGGCCCAAGGCTCTAACAGAAGGCAAGGCCTCGAGTAGGAAAGGGACTGGGTCTTCATGCAATCACTTGAAAACAAGTTGTATTTTGGGCCACTGAGTTTCTTTCCTTCTTCCTCATCTATAACATAAAGGGTTCGGATGACACAATTCCTACTCAGCTGGCAGACTGCACGGTTCTCTTCATATGGGGAAGACAGTGACAAATACGTATCCTTCCTGGACAACATGCTTTTAGGTCCATGAAGACAACACACTATAAAAGTGGGGAGATGCCATCATTTTTCTAATTTTGACAAACAAGTAATAAAGGAGGCCATTTATATAAACTAAGATGGCAAGAATAAATAGAGCACATACACAGAAGAGATTTTTTTTTTTTTTAAGGAAGCTGATGGCTACTGCAGACATGACAAGCCTGTACTACCTTCCTGGGGACGCTGGTTCCTCCATCTGAGTAATGACCTGATAGGGGAGCCCAGAGACTGAGGGAAAGTGAGAAATCACCCCCTCCTCCCTCCCACAGATGATGGCCATGCTGCAATCCCTGCTCTTCCATTCGCCTCCTGAGATTTTGAGCACACATGTACATGTACCAGTGTGATTTTCAAGCCAACAGGTGCAGGACTTGAACTACGGTTGGTCATGTAGGAGTCCAGCATCTTAACCATCACATTACCCGCTGGACTCAAGACCTCTTTTTATTTTATTTTTAATTTTTTAAAAATATTTTTTATTTAATTGTATTCATTGTCATTATTTTATTTTATTTTATTTTATTTTGAAGTTAACCAGAGAGAGACAGAGAGAAGCAAAGTGAGAAAGCAAGCTGCCAGGTCCAGGACTCGAACTGAGGTCAGCCATGTTTTATAGCATTCGCAGTGTGCAAGGTATTCTCCCTAGAACCTTATAAGTAATAACTCATTTAATTCTTTTATAAAATTATTTTATTAATTTATTTGTTATTTATTTATTTTTTAAAAATTTGACCAGTGTGGGAAAGAGAGAGAGAGAGAGAGAGAACAAGCCACCAGGTCCAGGACTCGAACCACGGTTGGCCATGTGTGAGTTCAGCGCCCTTAACCACCATGCCACCTGCTGGCCCCAATAACTCATTTAATTCTTTTATTTATTTATTTTTTGATAGGTTTTTGCCATAGGGTGTATGCGCTCACCAGAAAGACAGAGAGAGACAGAGACAGAAAGTGAGAAATCATCCCTTGGGGGAGATGGCCACACCGCAATCCCTTCTCCTCCATTCTCCTCCTGGGATCTTGGGTACACATGCACAAGCACCCAGCGTAAGTTTTAAGCCACTGGGTCTGGGACTCGAACCACAGTTGACTACATGGGAGTCCAGTGACATAGCCATTACGCCAATTGCTGGTTCCTATCCTGAACTCTTAGGATTTTTATGTGTCTGATCCCACAGCTATTAGGTCATTGGGAAAGTCATGACATATTTTTCTATGATTTTCCTATGCAAAAATGTGTCATGACTTTCCTGACAACCCAGTAGACTATATCTTCTAAAGATGAAGTCCCTGGAGACGAACACTGTGCCTTGCCCACCTTCATGACTTAGCATCTAATATGTGACCTGGCTCATACCTGATGAGTGAATGGAAGGAGGAGGCAGAATTCATCAAGTGGCATGTTTCAAAGTCCTGTACATACGTTGTCATTCTTACCTATTCAGTGCAAATGCATAGTGGAATTTAATATTGTGCTGATCGGCCAAATCACACGTAGGCAGCATCTCCAGTGTTTCTACCAGCTTCACCATTGCATCGTAGTCCTGTTGGCAAGAAGTCTCAGGGTGAGAAAGAAAGGAAACACAGCTTTTCCCAGATTTTATGATTAGTCATCAACACGAGACAGCCTCAGCACTTAAGGACAGGCCTTTCCTATCAGAGGGCATTTGGTGAACTTACTTGTTGTCTCTCAGACAACAGAAAGAAAATCAGAAAACAGATAAAAATTATACTAGCAGATGGTATAATGGTTAAGTCGCCGGACTCCCATGTAGTTGATGGCGGTTAGAGTCCCAGACCCAATGGCTTGAAACTCACACTGGATGCATGTGTGTGCTTGCCCAAAATCCTGAGAGGAGACTGGAAGAGAAGGGCCTGTGATGTGGCCATCACCCTGGAGGGGTGATTTCTCACTTTCTGTTTCTGTTTCTCCAGTGAGTGCATGTACCCTATAGCAAAAATCTCTCAACCCCCAAAAAGAAAACAAGATGGATGAGAGAGAACAGAGAAGGGATCTCTGTTATTAACAGGCAAAGAGGATCAAGAGAAAAAGATTTCGATCCAAAGACAAGGCCCAACTGTGGGTATGTACACTGCTTGACAAGGCTACTTGGCAAGCTGAGGCCACATGGGAGGTCTGGGTTTGATTCCCAGCCTAGTCCAAAAGTTGGGCATGGTGAACACCTATAGTCCCAGCTGCTTAGGAAGCTGACACAGGAGGATTGCAACAGTGAGACTCTGTCTTAAAAAAAAGGGGTGGGATCACGTTGGGCATACATACATGCGTGGCCAAGATACTGGAAGGAGAGGAGGAGAAGGAACTGTGGCATGGCCATACCCCCTGGGGGGTGAGGTCTCACTTTCCTGCTCACTGAGTCTGTTTCTCTCTCTCCAGTGAGTGTATGTACCCCTAAGGCATAAACCTCTCAAAAAATAAAATAAAATAACAGGTAGGAGCAATGAAAGAAAGAGCCAAGCAGCCAGGAAGAAGCTACCATGTTTTCAGTGTGGGAGCATTCACACCACCACCTGGGCTGTGTTTTAAAATGACCCAGACACACACACGCGCAAGAAAACTTACAGTCAACTTCCCACGTAAAGGGAGAAAGCATCGCAGTCCTTCCTATTTTGGCAGAATCAATCAAAATAATCTAAACAGGGATTTCTCAGCCTCAGCACTAGTGACATTTTGAGCCCAGTAATTCTCTGTCGGGGGACTGTCTGGTGCACTGTTAGATCAGCATCCCTCGCCATGACCCACGAGATGCCGCGCCACCACCGCCCTCAGTTTTGACAAACCCAAAATGTCTCTAGACGCTGCCAGAAGTCCCTGAGTTGAGAACTGCTGCTCTCAACTCTGCATAATCACCCAGGAAAAAACTGCTACCATGTTTGTCTCAGCTGGGTCCCCGCTTAGCACCACCACCTGTCACCCTTTTGCCAAGCTCAGAATGACCAGTACTAGCCAGCTCGCTGACAGGCAGGCACAGTCAGCAGAGGAGGGCTGCCTGCCGCAGCCGCGTGCCTGTCTTATGGCTCTATATCTTGATGCTGCCCCAGGAAGGCAATGCATTCTAGGCTCACCCTTGTGCCTCAGAGTCCCAACCAATCGATGATCATAAAAGGGACACATGAAGGCAGCTCAAGGGAAGAAAGACTCCCAGAAAGGCCATTCCCATTCTCTTGTCCCATGGGGCATGAGATAATCATTACAATCCCTTTGTAGCACCTAGTAAAATCTGTTATCACCAGGAGCAAGAGTTCCTTTGTGATCGACTTCGCTCAGAATAAACATCTGCATCCCACGTGCTGGGTCCTGGATATGCCTCTGCTATTTCTGTTCACCCTGGCACTCAAGAGTGATGGGGAACAAAGCAGGAAGCGACAAAGGCCTAAACAAAATGGCATAGCAGAGGAGTTAAGAACAACGACAACAGAGCCAGTTGGCCTCAGTTTGAATCCTGACCTCACCAATTGCTGTGTGACCTTAGACAACTTACATAACTTCTCTGGGCTTCATTTGTAAAATGGGAATAATCAGAGTATACATACCCCATAGGTTTTGTAGAGGATTGCATTAACTAGCATTAGTAAAGGACTTGGAACCATGCCTAGTAGAAAATATATACAAATTGTTAAATTCTTACCTCCTTACACTAAGTAGTCATGTATATGAGATCTTGGAATGGAATGGTCACATCAGTCCTAATATGGCAAAATCTTCTCCAACATTTCTACTGCACAGATAAGCTGGTGACCTATGACCTAGCCCTATATCTACTTGTCAGCAAGACAGATATTTCCCCGTGCACTTAGTCTACGAGGATTTCCCACGAGGAGCTTCTCACGCCGAGGAAAACCTTGGCCCGTGTTAGCCACAGCTAGGCATAACTCGTACCTGGATATCACGGTAGGACAGGAGCAAATTAATGATGATGTCTGAGGTCAGAACCTCGGTATTATCCATGCGGAGTTTGATCCGAGCCAGCTCCTTCGCCAGTTCGTCGCCCTGGTATTTCTCTCTGGCTTTCCGGATGTCATTCAACAAGGTTTCTTTGTAGTAAGCACTGAGAGGGAAACACGGAGACTTCTAGTCACGTATACATGCAGCCAGGACCCTCATCATGTGCGCCCAAACACGGTTTCCACTGTCGGGACTTCGGCTAAGCCACGGAGACCTGAGCCCACACCTGAGCCTCCCTGCCCCATCAAACAGAAGACACTTTCTACCTATTATTCATAGTTCCTGGAATCTAATCAATAAATGATAAATAAAAATCTGTTCATTATAACTTGGAAAGTATTTTCAAAGCTGACCCCAGTGTATTCAGACAACACTCAGGACTTGCTCCCTGTCCACTTCCTGATCGTTTTAAACATACGGAGGGCAGAATATTGCTTGCATATTTATTTTCCCCACTAAGAGTAGATAATCACAAAACCAAACAGAACCTTAAAAGCCATGAAACAGAGATAAAACCTTCTCTGGAATAAATTTTCCTCTCAGGTGTCCCACAGTCGCAAAGGCTCCCTCTCTTGAGCTAGAAACTAGTGTCACATTTGTATATAATCCAAGAGGAAGCAGAGATGATGGAAGCTCATGGATAGCCCTGCCTGTCACTCACTCCCTGGCTCTCCATGTCAGATTTGACTGCCAGAATATTTCTTACGTAAAATATGACATTTCCTTTATGTAGACATCTAGATAATAATGGGGGCTGTACAAAAACATTTTAAAAAGTGTGAGTTTATTTTGGTGTCTATTTTTTATGTTAAATCTATGCATAGTTTTTTCCAAGACACACATTTTTCCATAAACCTTTTGAAGACCTCTCGTATCTGGTACTTGGTTTTAAAATCTTGAAAAATGACTTAATTTAGTGTCCAGAGGCTGATCATTTAAATCAATGATCTTTTCTATTTTCTAAATAATTTTTTTAATGGCAACTAGGCATTTGCAAGCAGTAATACTGTCGAATCTGTTAAGAAGCTGAAGTGATCTAACTGTAGAGGGCAAAATTAGGCTTTCATTAAAAACAGAATAAGCGGAACCAGTAGTTGATGTAATGGCTATGTTACTGGACTCCCATGTAGTCAACTGTGGTTTGAGTCCTGGACCTGGTGGCTTAAACTCGCACCAGGCATGTGTGCATGTGTGCCCAATATCCCGAGAGGAGAATGGAGGAGAAGGGATTGTGGCATGGCCATCCCCCCTGGGGAGTGATTTCTCACTTTCTGTCTCTGTCTCTCTCTGTCTTTCTGGTGAGCAAATGCACCCTATAGCAAAATAAATCTCTAACAAAACAAAACAAAAAACAGAGTAAGCAAAATGAAAGAATAGACTCCAGAAAAGACAAATAATACATGGGACAGAATAGGAAATGATACTTACTTTTAATAATTATAAAACTACACCCAAATAAATGTGCATACAGTACATATCCTGGCTTTCAATGCTCATCAGACCTCAATTAACGTTTAAAGAATGAAGTGATGACACACAAAGTGTTCTGATATAAAAATATCAGTGCAGGGGCCAGCAGGTGGCATGGTGGTTAAGGGCGCTGGACTCCCACATGGCTGACCATGGTTCGAGTCTCAGACCTGGCAGCTTGCTTTCTCACTTTCCATATCTCTCTGTCACTCTCTCTCTCTGTCCCTACCTGGTCAAATTATAATAAAATAAATAAAGTTAAATAAAATAATTCTTTAAAAAATATCAGTGCATTGTTTTTATTTATTTCTTTATTTGTAAATTGCTAGTACCACAAGGGTGAACAAATTAGCAGATTCTGCCAGTGTTTAAAATTCTGTCATAAATAGACTGAGTCACTAAATTGGGTGATAGCCATTGCCCATTTGGTAAACTGTAAAGGCACCAAAGCTATGAAAGTTATTAGTTTAGCCTGACAAGTAAAAAGTTACACTTCAGTTGTGTCTTCAAGGGTAATTCTGAAAAATAGTTTTAATAAACTAAGAAACCTAATAAGAATGGTAACTTTTAAGTAAATAAAACACTGACTTGAGTATGGCTTTGGGACACTGGATATATAATAAACGTGTAGCCGTCATTGCCTTTGGTAACTAGGGAAGATGTTCCTAATCAATGTGAATTTGGAAAAGTCTTCAAAGCCTTTTTTAGCACAAGATTCAAAGTAGATTTTATAAATCCATCAGAGTTGGTAGTAGAGCTAAAACTCACTCGCCATCCCTGTTATAGACTTTGAAACCACAAGCACCATTCGCCCTCTCCCCAACCATTGGCAGACAACTGCCAGCTCACAGGGTAGATTCTGTCAATAGGTATTTCTAGCCCTTTGAAGTTTAACCAAAACAAAAGAGCAGTTTCCCTACTGATACATTCAAGGGGGTCTTCAAAAGGTTCATGGAACCCTTTTGGCCAGAACCACCATCTAGCAGTAATTAACCAAAATGGCGAACACAAAGGGAGAGAGGCACCCGATCGATATATTTTCTCTAGGCTTTTTAGATAACATGGAGTTGTTCCTTTGGCAGCATTCATGCGAATCTACAAGAAAGGTGATATTGAAGACATCAAGAGAATGGGTGCTGTTCAAAAAGGAATGCCCCACAAATGTTACCATGGCAACACTGGAAGAGTCTACAATGTTACCCAGCATGCTATTGGCATTGTTGTAAACAAACGGGTTAAGAGCAAGATTTTTGCCAAGAAAATTAATGTGCGTTTTGAGCATTTTAAGCATTCTAAGAGCCTAAAATGTGTGAAGGCAAATGACCAGAAAAAGAAGGAAGCCAAAGAGACAGGGACCTGTGTTCAACTGAAGCACCAGCCTACTCCACCCAGAGAAGCACACTTTGTGAGAACCAATGGAAAGGAGCCTGAGCTTCTGGAACCTATTCATATGAATTTATGTCATGACGGGTGTTAAAAATAAACTAATCTGGGAGGTATGTCCTGGTGTGTTCAGGGAAGCCATGCTCTAAACCCATCTCCCAGACTCCCAAAATATTCAGACAAGGTAAGACAACCTCTGTCTTTTCTCTGTCTCTGGCTGTCTATCTGACTCATGCTCTCTCCCCCTTTCTGTCTGTCTCACACTCTCTCTCCCTTTCTGTCTCATGCTCTCTCTCCCTTCAAACTTTTTAATTTTTTTTTTAATTGTTCAAGCACCTCTCCTCAGCTTGGGCCTTTCCTTTCACTTGTTAATTTCAGAAGCCATTTTAAAGCTGAGGTGTGTCCTGGTGTGTTCATTTTTTACTCTTTTTTGGTAGTGTTTTCCTATTTTTTTCCCTTTTTGCTCATATTTTTTAATCTTACTTTCTTACTCTAAGCCTCACTCTCCAGACACTTAATGTCTACATAGGCCTAGGTGCACAGTAGCCAAGCATCTGAATCCTTTTAGATTCATTGAATTCCTCAACGCTTATTGAATCTCCTGCTTTAATGAAGAAATTTCTTTCCATAAATCTGAACTCCTAATCTTACTGTTTATACCACATTGCTAAGCACTGTGGAGGAGAGATTTTGTCACAGAATGATCAGAAACAATTGCAGAGGTACAAGAAACATAAGAAACCAAGAAAATGTCTCTTCTGTAAGGGAAAAAAAAATACCTCAGGACAGTAGAATTCTTGGAAATGTCTGATAAAGACTTCAGAATATTCATATTGACAAAACTAAATGAGATGCAAGAGCTGAGAGATAATGAACTCCAGAAGATGTAGGAGAAAAGAGACAACGAGTTTCAGGAGGTGTTGAAGTTCTTTCATGATCTGAAAGAGGAAATACACATCATGAAAAAGAATCAAATGGAGCTATTAGAGATGAAGGCTGCCCTTCAGGAAATCAAAACGTCTCTCTAAAGTATTAAAAGCAGATTAGTCCATGCAGAAAATCGAATCTTGTACGTTGAAGGTAAAACCTCTGATCTAGAAAAAAACAACCAAAAAACTGAGAAAATAACATACAAAAAATGAGAATACTATACGAGAAATACTAGACAGCATTAAGCACCCAAACATCCTGATAATCGGTATTTCAGAAGGTGAGGAAACTAATAAAGGCACTGACCATCTATTCCATGAAATCCTTGAAGAAAACTTTCCAAATCTAAAGAGGCATTCAAATATCCAGACCCAAGAAATACAAAGGACCCCTAATAGAATCAATCCAAGAAGATCTTCTCCAAGACACAGACTAGCCAGACTGGTCAATTCTACAAAGACAAGATACTAAAATTGGCAAGAGAGAAATGTCAGGTTACTTATAAAGGTTATCCTATCAGGCTAACCTCTGACCTCTCATCAGAAACAATGTGAGCAAGGAAGGAATGGGAAAATATATTCAAGGTGTTAAGTGAAAAACAGTTTCAACCAAGAATACTATACCCAGCAAGATTATCTTTCATATGGAAAAAAAGAATA